CGCCACTGGTTAAGTTCATTTAACTAATTATTTTGCTGATAGGTGTATCTTATAACACTAAAAATATTTACCGAATTTAGTAAACTTACACTGAGAAAAAAAATGTTGCTAATAATAATTTTTGAATTTTCAACTTTAACACCCTGTATTTTGAATATTATCAACTTTGGACTTAAGTAAGTTATTTGGTTACATGCAATATTTTTACCCAAATAATCTGCAGTTTTGTTTTGCACCATTAATTAGCGAACCTGTATATGATAAGCAATATTTTCACAACGCTGTTAAGGCTGTATGTCACGATACTAAATTAAGTACTAAATTTAGCACTAAATTAAGTTATTAATTTAGTACTAAATTTAGAACTAAAAATTTTTTTTTCTGTTTGCAACGATACCAATTTTTAGTACTAAATTTACTATAGGCGCACGCGCATTGACGTATTAATACGTAAAATTAACAGAGAAATGAAATATTATGTGTAAAACAGACAAGTAAATGGTGTTTTTATTATCAATTTGACACTAGTTGACTTGACAACAACCAAATACAGCATAAAAACCACGAAAAAAACACAATAAAACCTACAAAATCAAACAAGCGAACTTTATTCAAGGCGATAATGTAAAATTGTCGCTAATTAAAAATAAAAGGGTACAGAAAATACCGTCGTGTCAACTTTTTCTATGAAAAACTTCTGCGCAACATTTCGGCGCACTTTTAGTACTTAATTAATGACTTTTTTTAGCACTAAATTTAGTACTAAATTTGCTGTTTGCAACGTGAATTTTTTTAGTACTTAAAAAATGCATTAATTTAGTTCTAAATTTAGTACTTAATTTAGTATCGTGACATACAGCCTTTACGCATAGTAGGCTATTTTAAATGAAATTTCAATTGATAATTTTGCATGAATAATGAATTTATAATAAATGAATTTTAACTTTATTTGTAGGTATGTAGACATAAAATCGTTAAATGATTTGAATATTAGGTATATCAAATCTGTCGGCTTTTGTTTCATTATTATATTTAGCATTGCCTTTTATTAATACCATTGTCATGTTTATTAAAGCATATCTATTTTTTAAATAATGTGTGAATTTCGAGGGAAAAAAATTCGTTGCATTTTCGACAGATTGTGTCAAGCGAACCTAAAAGTAGGGAGGTATCACTTTCCGCTCTTCATACTCAAATTGCTTATTTTATAATAATTTGTACCTAATACCTTCTTCTAGTTAAACTGACGATAAATAAAAGTAAAGGTTCGTATCTAGAATCTAAAAGTAAGGTATTTAGTAATTAAAGATGACAATCTTAACCATTAATCATTTAAAATAAAAAGAACAATCCAATTTTTATCAAGAACATTCTGGTAGGTAGAACAGTGACCCGCTTCATTTCTGTAATTATAAGTAATTAAATTATCTCTGGTATTTCTGGAACGGCAATAAAATGTGTACGACTTGTCAAATCAAATCTAGATTATTCAGCTAGACGGTATCTGGTAAAAAAGAAGAAATATATAACAATCAAGATTCATCCATTACCAATACTATATACCAAATACTGGGAAAGCTGAACAAAATGGATGAACGAATTACTAGTTTAGAAAATAGTAGCAAAGGAGCTATGTCTAAGAGACAATATAATGAGTAATAACCTAATAATAATGGAATGGAATGCTAATGGAGTGATGATATAGAAAACATAGACATACACATGCTTAATTTCAGAGACTCACTTTACCAATGAGTCCTTTATTAAATTTAAGGGATATAATTTTATCATACCATTGATCCCCGAAATGCAGCAAGAGGGGATAACGCAGTAATAATTAGAGAAGCAATTAAGCATCATCATGAAACGGGATACAGGACTGAAGAATTTCAGGCTACTTCAGTAATGATAAAATCTAAAACTTCTGATGTTATAGTCACTTCTGTATATATTGTTCTCCAAGACATACCGTTAAAAAAGAACAATACCTAGATTTCCCCAATAGTCAAGAACCTAAATTTATCATTGGAGGCGACTTTAATCCAAAACACACCAATTGGGGCTCCAGACTAACAACAACTAAGGGTAAAAACCTAAAAGAAGCAATGACAGTTAAAATGTGAGTCGCATTCAACTGGCAAACCAACTTATTGACCCACAGATGGAAACAAAATACCCGACCTAATAGACTTTTTTGTTGTACGAAATATTTCAGCAAACTACATCCAAGTTAATAAGACATGGAACATGAATCCAGATCATTTGCCCATTCTTCTCACTCTTAGTGACACCATTATCAAAAAGGAAAGCGCTCCTAGACTAATAAATAGGAGAACAGACTGGCAAAGCTTCAGACTGAACCTTGAAAATAAAATCAATCTTTCAGTTCAGTTAAGAACAAAAGCACAGCTAGATGAAGAAGTAGAACTACTTGTGTCCAACATACAACAAGCAGCATGGGATAATACGCCACCTATTGTGCAGCGAACAACAGGAAATAACTATCCTAAAGAAATATGGGACCTAATCTCTGCAAAAAGAAAACTAAGGAGGAAACAGTATTAGACCAGAGCTCCATCAGATAAAACCAAATCTAACACCACCCAGATGTTAAAAAGAGAGATAAAACGAATCAAAAATGAATCTATTTGTGAGTACCTTAGTATGTTGATAAACCATAAATCCACTGATTATTCTATATGGAAAGCCACAAAGCGATTAAAAAAGCCCACTGTGCAGAATGCTCCAATCAGGAATACAGATGGTAGCTGGGCTAGAAATAATATACAAAAAGTTAATAGATTCACAGAGCAGTTACAAAATACCTTCCAACCAAATGAAAGAGAAGAATTACCGAACTGGACTCCTCTAAAGAGAGATGACTTAATTATCACACCAACCTCTCCAAAGGAAATTGCAGAAGATATAAAAACAAATATTAATCCTAAGAAAGCTTTGATTTAATTACAGGAGAAATCTTAAAAACAACTTCCGAAGAAAGCCATAATTAAACTTAAATACCTGTTTAATGCCTCATTCAAACTAAGGTATGTCCCTAGATTTTAGAAAGTAGCTGAAGTCAACATGATCCTCAAACCAGGAAAACCTTCGTCATATAGGCCAATATCTCTATTGCCTATATTTAATATCGAATCCATTTGAAAAAAATACTAATAAAAAGATTGTAAACCCATCATTGAAGAAAGGAAACTTATTCCGGATTACCAGTTCGGCTTTAGAGAAAACCACTCAACTATAGATCAGGTTCATAGAATCTCAAACATAAACTGAATGTGCTACTTCCACAGCCATACTCAGAGCTATTGGATTCATACATTTCAGATAGATTTTTTAGAGTAAAACAAGATGAAATCAATTAAAGCAGGAGTGCCACAGAGAAGCGTCCTGGAACCCACTTTGTATCTGTTATACACTTGTGACATACCCCAACTAGAACAAGATACAATACCTACATTTGCAGATGATAATACCATCCTAGCGATAGGCAAAGATCATGAAGAGGCTGCAAATAAACTACAAACATTAGTTAATCAAATAAATAATTGGACCAAAAGATGGCGTAATAAACTAAACTAAACGAAACCAAATCTGTTAATAAAAATGGTCAAAGAATACCAATAAACATAAATAATGCTCAGGTCCCTTATGCTAACTCGGCAAAATATCTAGGTATTACATTAGATGCAAGACTTCGCTGGAACGCCCATGTTAAAAGGAAAAGACAAGAGTTAGATATAAAATTCAAGAAAAGGTACTGGTTACTTGGTAGGCATTCCAGCCTATCTACATATAACAAAATTCTATTATATATAAACAAGTTCTCAAACCAATTTGGATCAATGGCATTCAGCTCTGGGGTTGTGAATATTACTATATTCTAATAATCCAGAGATTTCAGTACAAAGTATTGAGGAACATTGTTGATGCTCCTTGCTACATTAGAAACAGCGACCTTCTCGAGACCTTCAGATGTTGACCAGACTATCGCCAGATTCGCTAGGAGTCACGAACAACGGCTCCACCAATATATGAACGTTGAAGCGATCCGGCTTCTTGACAACACGAACTTTACAAGAAGATTCAAGAGAGTAAAACCTTTTCAGTTAGCCAAGTGATTGTGTTAATAACAAAGCAAAGCGTTGTGGGGTTTATGTTACACGTTAGTTTAGTGTAATTAAGTTATCAGACCCTAAGGTATACTAGCGAGTAGAACTTTAGTTATTAAGATTGCAACTCAAGTTATGTTATAACAAAATTACTCATTGATCAACTCTTGATCAGATTGTAATATTAATAAACGCCCCTCTTGAAGTGTTTTTTCACAAAAAAAAAAGATACTCAAATAGCTTATTTTATAATAATTTGTACCTACCTTCTTCTAGTAAAACTGACGATAAATAAAAGTAAAGGTTCGTATCTATAATCTAAAAGTAAGGTATTTAGTAATTAAAGATGACAATCTTAACCATTAATCATTTAAAATAAAAAGAACAAACCAATTTTTATCAAGAACATTCTGGTAGGTAGAACAGTGACCCGCTTCATTTCTGTAATTATAAGTAATTAAATTGTCTCTGGTATTTCTGGAACGGCAATAAAATTTGTTCTGAAAACGACTTAACATGTTTTAGCGTTTTCCAGAAACAATAAAATGTAAAGATGTAAAATGCGAGTTTTATTAGCTTTAAAATGTTGCGTCGTATGATGATTTTTAGTCCTTTTATAGTGGTATTTTGAATTCTTCGTTATTTTTCTTTTTATGTAGGTAGATAAAAAATACACTATAGAAAAAACTATTTGCTTCTATATTTTATTAAAGTTTAGGTATATGCTGCCATCTACTAGTAACTAGCTATAACTTACCAGTTACATTTACAGGAATTCAAAATTGATTTACATTCGCTGGCCTAAAAAAAAGAACCTAATAGCTACCTAATACCTGAATTTTAAATGTTCAAAATTCTGTTTTAGAAAAAAGAAGAAATCAAGAAAACATGACATAACCCTTTCTTTTGGGCCTAATGAAAATGAAATCAAAATGTTAAAGCAAATTTTAATAAAAACAATTCCTAGGACTTATGAATTTGGTGTTACAAACAGTTTAATAATTAAAAGGTTTGCGGGCCACTCCAAATGGGCCAATATAAAACATATAAAGGGATTGAAAGATGCCGAAAGATCCAAAGTATTTACGAAATTAGGAAGGCAAATTAAAGTTGCTGTAACTGGTAAGTAAATTATTTATTTAATTACTTAAATATACGTTTATTTTATAAGAATATTTTTAGATGGAGGTTCAACTGATCCTAAAAAAAATCTGCTATTAGCTCAAGTTATTGAACAAACCAAAAGGGCAAATATGCCTGTAGCGACTTTGCAAAGTATTCTAAAAAGTTGCGAGAATGATAAGTCGCAAAATAAACAATATATGTTAGAAATTAAGTAAGCAAATTGTTAGATAACTCCAAACTGATTTGATTATTCAATTTTTATCTTTAGGGGTCCTGGAAGTTGTTTTATACTATGTGAAGTATATACCAATCAACTTCATATTCTTAAACAAAACATGAGTTCAATTTTGAGAAAGAACCAGTAAGTATTCTGCTCTGTTACACCTAATAACTATAATTTTAGAATTTTGAATCAAAATATTCTACGTTAATAGACAACTTGTCGATCCTAAACTTTATGCAATTTAATCACCTTAATAATTTAAATAAAGAGACCCCAAAGCTGGATTTATAAACTACGTTCAGTTCATGCTCAGTTCGAGTTCAACATAAACAAAGCAGAATGACACATTAAGTATGTTCTGGATAAGAAAGTATAACAGATTTATAATTATTTTATGACCAACACCATCTACAAATATAATTAAAACAAAAATAACAAAATATAATTTATTTTGTGGAATTTGTGGTTATGTCTTGTCAACTTGAACTGAGCGCCAACTCAACATAGTTTATAAATCCAGCTTTATTTAATGTAATAAACCCATAATTTTAAATTTATTGCAATGCTGACTCCAATAAGAGAAAATCCTTAACACTGACCATGGAATTTATTTTCGAGCCACCCTCATTCCCAATTCCAATCAATTTTTGTTTAACTTCAAAAAGCTAACCATTCATCAATTAATTCAGAATTGTGATCTATTATCTGGCTTCAGCTATTTTTAACAAAAGTTTCTTAAGGTTGGCAGTTGCCCATAGAAATCTGCCATATATGTGCAGTTTACTTTAAACATAGCTTTTAGAAGTGTGCCTACTAGTGGTTGTAAAGACGTCTTAAGAGTTTTTTAAAGTACTCAAAAAATGACTTTGACTTTGGTATTTAAATCACTTGGAATAATTGCTTTACCTAGGAATTTTCTTTAAAACTAAACTTATTTAGGTACATGTTTTCTTTCGGTTGAAACCCCTACAAGTAACACAGGAAAATAATAAAAAAACATCACACTTCAAAATATTGTTTAGTTTTCTGAAAGGTGTGTTTAAAAGTATATAATTTTTTTATGAAGGGGCAATTATATTTTGTAAATGATATATCATGGGACACAGCAGAGAGTTTCAAAGTTTAAAACATTTTTGTATTTTCTTTTAACCATTTTGTAAAAAATTCCCGAAATTGACCAGATAAGCATTTCTTGAGATATGGCCCGATACCACCCTTAAGTAATATTACATGTTTCTATCAAAATATTGAATCATTAATAAATAAATATTCCAAAATTTCACAAAAATAATAAATTTTCTTATAATTATTCAAACAATACAATAAAAATGATAAAAGATAAAAACAAATCTTACAAAAAGTGGTTATAATATAAAAACCTAACTGATTACAAGTCTCTCAGAACTCGCTCTAAAAATCTCATAAAAAATAGACGTTTTATTCAATCAATGGAAAATGGAATTGCCAGAAATTATATTAAGCTTTTGATTTTTGAACCATAACAGTTTAGCTTTAGTCATGCCTTTCTACCAAACTCATAGACAATCTCACTTTAAATTTTATTTGACTAAACCAAAGTGAAGTTCTAAATTGCTTGTCGAAATTGGATACTGAAAAAGGAGTAGGTCCTGATAGGTAAGTTGCCAGCAATATTAAAAAAATGTGCGTTCACAATATCCGTGCCATTAACATTCCTTCTTAACCAGGCCTTGAAACTTTCGATCCTTCCCTGAGAAATGGAAAATGTCTATTGCACTGATTTTTTAGAAAGGTAAACAAAATCAATAAAAAATTACAGATCTTTTAGTAAACTATCAGTTGTTGGGAAAGTTTTTAAAAAATGTATTTTTAAATATTTATTTCCACTTGTAAAAATATAATAATTAATGAACATCATGGATTTTTTAAGGGTTGATCTTTGGATACATGTAATTCAACAAAGCCTTTGATAAAATCAGCCATAATATTTTAATTTGAGTTAGCCTGGTTGGTACCCTCCTGAGATGGACAAAATATTATATTAAAACAGATCCCAATTTGTACATATACATGGATTTGAATCAGACAGTTACTCAGTAAGTTCTGGCGTGCCACAAGGATCTCATTTAGGACCTTTGTTCTTTATTATACAAGGTGATTCATAACTATTGGGACATAGGCTAAGGGCAAGTTATTTGGACCAAAATATGGAAATAGGGCCAAATATACCTTAATAAAATATTACTGTTGAATAATACATATGTACCAGGCACAATTATCTGACACTGCAAAGCACACTTTTCATAAATGAAATATTTTTTTAAATCCTCATCTGAGTCTGAACTGTTTAATTGTGTTTTTCTCGAAAACGGGTGAAATTATCGTGTTTAAAAAAGTACCGATATTACGTAGAAATGATGTGTACATCATATTTTCTAATCAAATACACTAAAAAGTTTCGGCAAAAAAGGTACCACTTAATGTCATCATCAGGAATCATTCACATAGCACTCCCTGTAACAAAATGTGAAATAATACATAAAATATGTGAAATAATACATAAAATAATATTCCTTGTCTAAAGATATGCCTCCGCCGATTTTGATAACAATTCATAAATATACAGACATCAGAAAAAACCGAAACACAAAAATCAACTTTAACGCCATGTATCTTATTCCACAGTAATATTTTATTAAGATATATTTGGTCCTATCGCCATATTTTGGTCCAAATAACCTGCCATTTAGCCTATGTCCCAATAGTTATGAATCACCCTGCATAAGTACATAATATATCAATCAATAATTGATATAGAAACACGGGCCCTTAAAGGGCTTAGTTACTGAGATACAGGGTGTTAAAAAAATTTAAAATCAAAATTCAAAATATGCCAAAAATCAAAAATGCCTTTAAATATTTTTGTCAAAGTCAAGATTTTGTCAAATACACGAATAATTAGCAGATTTATAAAACACCGTTCATGTTAGATCCATAAAAGGTTATTTCTTTTTTAAACTAATAAAGATCACAGGATTAAAAAAAAAAACAAATAAAAAATATATTTGTTCAAATGGGGTAAAAAATAAGGGGGAAAAGTTGTCACTAACCCAGACAGCGCGCCACTGGTTAAATTTTTTAAGAGTTAGTTTATATCAAAATATTATTTTCTTAAAGAGCATATTGGTCACCAAATTTGAAAAAAATATATTTCTAATTTTGACATATAAAGTGAACAAACAGTATGAACACACTACAAGTCGTTGATAATGAATTAAGATAATTTTCTATTTGTCAATAAAACAATGAAGTTAATAATATGGGCAACTAACAATACAAGAAATTCGTAATTTTATAAATAATCTGGTTAAAATTAGAAAAAAATATTGTAGGAATGTAATACGTTACGAAATGCCGTTTTATGTAACTCGATGATGTTGCGGGACCTCGCTCTGCTTGTCCCGCAAATATTCACTCATTACCTAAAATAAGGCATTTCGCAACTTGTTTCAAAAATAGCTATTAAAAACGATTTTGATTTATAGCAAATTTTGACTTTTGATTTCAAACATTTATCACCTTGTATCTCGGTAACTAAGCCCTTCAAAGGATCTTGTTTCTATAGTTATTACAATTCATCAATTATTAACGAGAGATCTCTGGGATAGAGCGTTGTCAGTTGAATATATGAACACCCTGTATAAACAAATCAGGTGCATCGATTGCTGCGTTTGAGAATCCACATCGGATGCATTTTTTACATCTCGAGCGTTTTTTTATCCACATCGGACACATCTGTCCCATTACATTTACGTATACTGAATCACGTGATCAAAGATTTTTTACATCTCAGATGCATCCGATGTGGATTCTCAAACGCGGCAAATGATGCTGTAGGTCTTCAAAACGAATTAAATCGAGACTTTGAAATTTGGGACATGAATGGACTTTTCCTTAATCTCAGTAAATGTTGTTCACTTGTAATTTATTCTTACAGCCTAAAAAATGGAAATCTTCGAAGTGTTAATGAATTGAATGATCTAGCTTAACATTTGAAAGACATAGATTACACTGGTAAACACTGTTTTTGTCACACGAACTTTGTGATGATTTTTGTTCATGTTGGTGTACCCTCATTAACAATATATAATAATTTTGTTTCAATCACGTCCAGTTTTTTTGTGACAGCTACATATTTTTTTGAATAACTTCATTTAGACGACTGTATAACTATTGCATTCAACTAACTTACATCTTATATACGTTTGTTATATCGTAAACATGCCACGATAGTGTTCTAACTACCCTGACAGTTTTTGTTATGTGTGTGGAGAATTAACTTTTACGTCTCAGCGTCGAAATTTCACATCATTAATTGAACAGTGCTATTTAGACTATTTTGGATTTCCTGTGAGGAATCAAGATAAATCCTGGGTTCCACTTAAATGTGTAACGTGTGTGAGACTGCTATTAGGTTGGGCTAAACAAGAACCCAGACATATGCCATTTGCTATACCAATGATTTGGACCGAACCAAAGGATCATGCAAGTGATCGTTATTTTTGTTTGACTCAAATCAAAAGCATTACAACCAAGTCCAAACACACTATCCAGTATCCAAACTTGTCTTCGGCCAACAGACCCATCCTACATAGTGCCTAACTGCCTGTGCCAAAGCCTCCAAATTGATCAGAAAGTCAGGATTCTATTCTGAGACTTGTTCTAAGTCAGCACGATAAAGTCTCTGAAGATACTGACCCAAGTTATGAACCGTCAACTTCAAAAGAACCGCACTTATTGACACAAAGTGATTTAAACGATTTAGTACGTGATTTGAATCTGTCTAAAAAACAGGCTGAGCTTTTGGGGTCTAGATTAAACGACTAGAATTTACTTTCTCTTGATACAAAAATTTATTATTTTCGACATCGTAACGACGAAATAAAACTTTACTTTTTTGAAGCAGGTGTTTTAGTATATTGTTATAACGTTCCTGTTTTGATGGATTTATTAAATTTTAAATATGATCCAAATCACTGGCGATTGTTCATTGACTCTTAAAAAACTAGTTTGAAAGCAGTGTTGCTGCATAACGGAAATAAACTTCCTTCAGTGCCGGTTGCTCATGGTTCTGATATGAAAGAGACTTACGAAAATATCAGATTACTTCTTGAAAAAATGGAATACAGTCAACACGCTTGGAAAATTTGTTGCGATTTTAAAGTCATTGCATGTCACATATTGTTGTTTGGTGGCCCTAGTACATTCAAAATTTGATATAAGTTTTCATGTGACAAAAAAAGTTAAACTTTTATTGACCAGTGTTATTTAGTAAATAACAGTTCCAGAATTTTGGGTAATATATTCAGAAACTGTAAACATTTTGAAACCATCAAACCTATTGTTAATATATACAATGATTTTGTTTTAAGTAGGCTTAATTTCGACAATGTATTTTGATTTCCCACGAAATGCAAACCACTTTGGTAATACCATTAATTTCTTTCATATATCTCTAATTTCACTAAAACAAATTAAAGTACACTTCTGTCTACTAAGAGTTTATAGATCTTTTCCTTTGCATCGAAAGTGTAGCACTGAGCTACGCCACTTCTGAATATATCGTTCCATCCATACCATTTGTATAAATAAAAAACTGATGTATCTACCTAATTTCTCTGGTTGTTATCATTAAATCTTAAAATTGCTTTAGATCAAGATGGAGTGATGGTGGAGGCCTACATCTATTTCAAGAAAAGGGTCAGATAGATACCGAACATCCTTCTTTAGCTGGCAAAGCAGAAGCAGAAATTATAGAACAAGTCACAGATCATGCCATTGAATCAGGAGCTGAAGATGTCAAAATCATAGAAAATAATTTTATACAATTCACTTGTGGCAAAACGAACCTAAACCAAGTTGTTCAAGAACTAGAAAAATTAGGTTATAAAGTGACCAGTGCTGAAGTGGAATATATACCTCAGAAATTGCAGAATTTGCAAGATGATGAATTAGAAGTATGCAAAAACTTGTATGATAAGTTGGAAAGTATACCAGAGGTTGTAAGACTCGTAGATAATATTGCCTAAAATTATTATTTTTTAATATCCAGCTGTACATTATGTAAAGTTTTAATGTTTATGTTTATATAATTTTATTTATTAAATTATATAAAAAGTTAGTTTGGAATTTACTTTGTTAAGTATATGTTGTTGCCCAAATATATGATATTTTCAAGAAGAAACTATTGTTTAAATTAAAATTTATTTTCAATAACAAAACATTTTTGTTATCAATATACAAATACAGTCTTAAAACATTACATTTACAATGAAAAAACAAGTGGGGGAATATATTTGAGTGCCAAATTTAAGTAGCTATTAGAATCGTCTAGATCTTTAATCAATTGTTTGATTTTATTTACAATATCTTGTCTGGAGGAGTCACGTCTATCTATGACTCTTTTAAAAACTATCTTTAGTTGGTATGCTGATGTATTACTCGATGTGTCTGCTAATTCTCTTAAAATTTGTTCTGTGTACCCCTGAAACAAAAATTAAAATGTCTACATTATCCTAAAGCAATTTTATGGTAATACATTCCGTTTGTTTTAAATTTATTAATGTTTGTATAATATTCCACTCATGTAGGTATTATACAGATTTATACTTTTTTTCCTAGGATATGGTATTGGAATTGAATACATAAGTTAAAATTTTATAAAATGGCAAAAATAATAATTCAGTTGTCTAGAACCCTAGTGCGACTAAAATGCGTGAAAGAAATTCATGAATTCTATCATATAGAAAAAAAAAAAACAAATTTAAACAAAAAAAATTGAATCTATAAAATGTTGATATTAAAGATATGGTAATATACATGTACTTACATTATATTTGCTTAATCCCAATCGCTTTGATTCCTTGTTAAGCATGTCATACAAAGATAGAAGGCTTACATATGCTCTTGTTGGAGGAACTTGCTTTTGCCTTAACAATTCGGTCCTAAAAAATTAATCCGTGACAATCGTTATTATATAGGGTGTCCCAAAACATACCGACAAACTTTAAGGGGTTATATGTGACATCAAAACAAACTTCTTTTGTTTAATAAATTATTTTAAATCATTTCAAATAACCAAATTAATTAATTCTTCATTTATCAATCAATCAAAATATACTTTATTGTTGGAGAAAACCAATTCTGTTGACAAAGCATTAAAATATAAGTAGGTACCTATATCTATAACTAAATCTAGAGAAAAAAGTTAAGAAATAAAATTAATATTAAAAATATATAATATAGGGTACATCATAATCTCAACACATAAAATTAAAAAATACAATATAAAAGAATAAGAGGTAGGTACCCTACAATAAAATTTTACTAACGTAGTCAAAACATTGATTATGTCATTTATAGTAATCTTTTTCAAGCAGTAGATCTTTTAACTTAGTTCTAAATAATAATAAGTGAGGCTTAATAATTTATAAAGAATTGGGTAGGTGATTAAATATTTTTGGAAGAATCAAGTTATTGTTTTGCCGAGTATTGTATATACCTAAATTATTTTTATTAATTAAGCTCATTGCCTCTAATATAAATAGGCTAGTCAGTGTTAATATTTAGAGTTCAATAGATGAAGGTTTACAGTGGTCTATATAACCAGGTTTGGCTAATAATCCAGCAGCCCTGCGAAGAAGATACTGCGAGCTATTTCCCCAAAACACAATTCCATATCTTAGGGATTCTATTAAAGCATAACTGTTTTTACTGTTAAGGTGCACTGTTCTTTGGTAACTAGCCGATCTGCAGAACAGCCCAACCCGAAGCTAATTTCTTGTTAAGGTTCTTGATGTGTTCATCAAACTTTAGATGATTGTATATGTAAACGCCAAGGAATTTTGAGCATTGCACATTATCAGTGGTCTGCTCGTTGAGAAAAAATGAAACTACATTTGTTTTTTTTTTGTATTAAAGCTTAAGCGTGGGCGCTGTGTTATCCCAAGAACAGGCGGGGGAACAGAAAGTAATTGCGTATTTTAGTAAGAATTATTGAGTCACAAGAAAATAACTTTTAGCTATTTTTAGAACTCTTGAACACTACCATACTTACTTTTTTAACAGAAGCAGTGGCTGATGAATATTAAAAAACCTGGGGCCGTCTCTATAGAAACGCAGACATTCTTTCCAGACGACCCAGTTTAGAACGACAGTGCCGGTACTGTAAAAGGCTTGAAGAACAAGACGAGCTGGTTGAAGAAGTTAGTTTTCAGGCGACCACTATCATGCCAGGGGATTTCCAAGACGGAATTATCCTTGAAAGTCTAAGACACTGACTTGCAGGTTATCCGAGAATGTCTTAAAAATGGAGTCAGACCTACATGGCAAGAGATAGCCAAATATAGTGGAACTATTAAAGAGAGGAGGGAGAAATGTTACCCATCACCCTACAGTGTGCTGCGGTCGTCATAAGTAAAGGTGCGAGTAAAAGAAGAAGGGAAAATATTCGAAAAATGTCTTTCACGTCAAGAAACATCTGGGCGTTCGGGAAGGTTCTAGAAGGTTAAATTGAGCTATATAAGTCAATGATTCTGACGTCAGTTTTATGATAGACGTTATACGTTGATGTTATCAGTTGAATTATTGTAAAAGTTGAGTTGAAATAAACTGAGATACAAAAAACCTGCGTTACAGTATGTTTGGAATAAAGACATGCACCAAAAACTTCAAGTTGAATCAATTCCAAAAGAAATGAAGAAAATTGCCAAGAGACATAAGGAGAGGCTCCACAAATACATTAACATTGAAGTTCTCCAACATTTAGACATACACAATCAGTAGGCAAACCTTTTGAGCCTTGATGATCGTGATAAATCAAATTTAGTGCTGTGAGCCACAATATCGAAGTGTGAAAAATATGTTAATGACTAATATTGAACACAGGTGAGATTTTATAGTAAATTAGGTTATTTTAAAAATGCTTATTAATCTTGTAGGATTAGGTGCATTTGGACAAAAAAACTGACCAAAACCATTTTTTTTATCTGAACAAATTTTGGTTTGTCGGTATGTTTTTGGGACACCCTGTATATCATGATATATATCATTAAGCAATCATTAAGTTTTCAACATCTAGTTTAAATTTTAATTGAAATTTTAAATGTTATTTGTAAAATGTGTTGCCTAACTTCAAGGTTTTCGTGATGCTTGGATTTTATGAATTCGTTGAATAATAGTGCGTGTGAACAAACGTAGTTATGAATTAATACTGATATTTATTTTCAGAAAATGATAAAATAACAGAAGAAATGTAGAAAAAGTATAAATTTAATTTTATTATTATAAAAATAAAACGAATTTCTTTGGAAATATCGGTCACTTTGTTTTTATTTAAAGGCACAATATATTTAGAAAAACTAGGTATGTTTCCGTCTTCTGATACAGTTACATTAACATTTTTAAGCTATTGCATAGCTTTTATCGCGGGCTTTAAGTGCGGCGACCGAATCAAGAAATTCCGTAACGACCGTAACGAAAAAAAACCTAACACCTCCCACTCCGACCGGCACAGCGGTGCGGCGTTAAACAATATTAACTTCTCATTTGTTCAATAAAAGAAAATCGAAAAATAGAAAAATCTAAAATTCGAAAAATGGAAAAATCGAAAAAGAAATTCCGTAACAAAAATAAACCTAACACCCCCCACTCCGACCGGCACAGCGGTGCGGCGTTGAAAGCCGTGCATCGTCTAACGTCGTTTCAGTTCGGCAGACTTCGGCACGGTGTTTATGTGCGTGCGACTAGACGTATGCGTGTAGACTAGCTCCTAACTGATTCTATCTCTTTTAGACACAATTTCGAAAAAATTAAATTTGAAAATGAACAATGATCCACAAGAATCCACAACAAAATATGGGACCACCATTGACGCGGTATTTTCCAGATATTTAGAGGATATCAAGTCTCAAACTTATGTTTCTTATTTCAGTTACCGTAAACCTATAGTTTCAATGATAAAAATTCCTAAATAACCTACATGTATTGTAAGATAATAAAAATATTTTAAACAATATTAACTTCTCATTTATTCAATAAAAGAAAAAAAATTGTTTTCTTATCGGTCACCACGCTCAAAAAATGTAACTTGAATTAATATCAAAGAAAAAAATACTGCATAAATAAAATAAATAAATAATTATAATTGCATAAGTTAATAAAAAATGCTATGCAATAGCTTTACCGCGGCAGTCCCCGAGTGCCACAAGTATTTTTTTTTTAATAACATCGATGGACACAACAAACATTTTAAAGTGTCTATAAACGACTTCTTTTAGTTTCATATGGTGTGGTGTAGGTGAATTCGAAAAATTAATATTTGCTTTAATAAATTAGTAGTAAAACAAAAAGAAGAGTTTTTACAGAAAAAAAAAAATTACCAGTGGGGTTACAGTAAAAATTATAAAGGTGGTTTCTATAAATATTTTAAAATGTTTGTTATGTCAGTTGCCCACTAAACAACATTACCAGTCTTTTTTGTAACGTTTTTTTTTATAGAGACTTTTCTTAATGTCCGATAGATGTTTAAATTTTAACATCGCATATTCATTAACATCTCTCGCATATATCGACAACTGAAGTTTTATGCATGCAGCAATACTTGCATTAGCAGTTAGATAAACAACTTCTGTAGTTCTGCTTAGTTACTTTTTGTGACAAGCATAAGCTGTTAAGTGTCTGTCCCATATGACAACAAGCGGAAAAACAAAAGTTACAATACAATTAAACGTTTTTATGCATAGTGGACGATGTTATTTAAAAAATATTAATGTGGCTGCACCAGAAGATGGAAAAACTTAGTTTTCTGAGAGATATGTTATGCTTTTAAATAAAAATCAAGTGACACATATTGCCAAAAAACTTTGTTTTATTTCTATAATATTAAAAAAAGAAATATACATTAAATGTTGAAAATTAACGTAAAAGGATATTAAAGTATTTTTTTGAAAAATACTACACAAAAGCACATCTGTATCTGTAAGGTAGGGAGAGTCGGTTGAACCTCAGCACTTAGGCCTCACTATGTCCGTTGGGCATTCTGCAGATTATGTCTATATAGTCAAGTATTTGTTTAAGTAGTAGTAGTGTTATCAGGATGACCTAAAATATCCTTACCGACTCGGCAGCTTCTTGTTTCATCACACCTTTTCTTGAATTTCACAAGGAAACGTTATTTAATTAGGTTTGTTAAGACCGATGTTGTAGTACCATATTGTTTTTCAAACAGGCAATGTCAAAGTATGTAGCTAATTTCGTATACATCTACTAACATTATACTAACTACTAACCTAAAATTTGTGTCGTCATATTTCTTCAAAAACTCTTGCGATTGCTCATCGATATCGTTTGGCACATCTTTTTCGATATCTTTCACTAATTTCAATGTATCGATAAAGTTTCTTCCAAAATATGTAGCTACACCTTCTAAAATATCGTCATTACCATTAACGTCAAAACTCTTTGACGATCTACTGACCCCTTCAGTGTCTCCATTGAAATCCTGATTGTATCTGTCAAAATAGTTGAGCCCACTGGGACGTTTTAAGCTGTCGACATATTCTTGGTAGGTATTTCCTAAAAATCACGTAGGTAATTGTAAAAATGTTTAGTAATATTAAATATAACTTTAATCTTTAATAAATTTATTCTTTAATTATTTTAATCTTTAATAACTTTAATCTTCAAACAATAATATTCAATTTCTATAATAGTTATTAACTATCTTAACAATATTTTGGTAAATCCAATACTCATAAGATTTATTTCAACTATAATGGTTCCAAAAAGAGAGAATACCCAAATATTTTAATTAGACTAACTGCTGATTTCAATAAAGATACAAACTGCTCGATTGACCAAAGTTATACATATTAAAATGTAATTTGTTTATTCTAAAAAAATATTGTTAATCGTTTTTTAACAGCAAAAATCAGGTTTACTTTTGAGTCTTATAAATTATGTAAATTATGCCTTGTAACCACAAATCTTTAATACTGAATTATAAGAAATATGTTCTAATAATATAGCGTCACAGGCGGGTACCTAATTAGAATTAAAACATGACCTCTGTTAACCTCACTGCCATTAATAGATAGATTACCTAACGGTTGTAAGCAGTGTTAACGGAGATGTTTTTGGACTTTTAATAATGATGCAAATCCAGAATGGCCTTTTATTGAGCTTAAAAAGGGATTTTTTATTTTATAATTGTTTTATAGAAGCCCAGGCTATATTTATAGTGGCAAATACTACCAAACATCATGTCAGTGAAACGAAAGAGAACGTGTATGATAAAAGATTTAAAGCATGCATGAGAAAAGTAAGAGGAAAAATAAAAAAATGACCCCGTTCTGTATGAAGAGTACAAAAGAAAAGGAAAGAAAAAACCTTAGAAAACAATACGGCAAAACAAAATACATAGATCGAAGACTTATGAGAAAAAGGAACGAAAGGTTAAGCAGGAGAGAATGAAGCAGAAAATCATTCCAGAAAATATCGAGATATTACGGGAATTAATATTCGAGAGTGTACTCCTACTAGTAGGTACACCAACTTCAAGAGAACGTATTTGCATTAGATATTTTTCTTGTTATTTTTTTTACTAGACATTTACAACTTTGCGTTCTGTTTTATTATAAAAATATCATTTATGTTAAAATTTCTCACTTCCGTTAACACCATAATATATTTTTTAACAAAAATGTACCAACTTAAGGTCAGCTATTATTGTCCAACAAATAAAGTAATATGTTTCCAAATAGAAAATATCAGAAATAGTTTTCAATTTCTTATATTGATAAACGCCAATAATTCTACGATTTCATTAGAATCACGCCTAAACATTTTAAAATAAAAACATTTTCCAAGTTTTCACATTTGCAACTTGTATCGTGTATCAGTTGCCAAGTCCGGTTCTGTTTATTTTCAAATAAACAAATATAGGCGTCAATGGAAATGCTATATTACCGAAATAAATGTAGAATTCCTTTTTCAGATTCACACTTTTATTCTAAATGCAGTTTTTTACAACATATAGTGACATTTTTAACCTTAATTCACAAAATTTGTAGTCACCAAATAAAAAACTTACTTTCGCGCTTGTTATGACATGTGTCGTACTAAACTTTGAGAGGAGTGCGCTGTGTCTTATAATGTTCCATCTAAAGTTTGTATAATCTAAGTTAATACAGTAAATAATTAAAATATGATTGTTTATTGCTTACTTTTTTGGACTGATTGGAAGTAAGCTTCAGGTCCGGGCGGTTTCAGAGGAGCATAGATCGCAGGTCGATGATAAGGCGTAGGCCGCATTGTCGACGTTGTCGTTGGACCGTAAGATGGCGTTGTTGAAGGTTTTAAATCGTACTTCATCATTTCTGTCAAATAGGCTAAAATCTGCATCGTGGCTGGTATGTAGGATTCAAGAAGTAGCGGTTTCTCTTCTACCCTTGGAGGTGTTCCTATTCCCGCCAAACATGTCTGGAAGTACCAGTAAAAACTTATTTTTTTTTTTTGATAAATTGGTGCAGACCATGCAAGAAATTGATCGAAAGGAGTTGTAATAAACGTCAAAGTTCTAAAACGTTGAAAATTATTAACAGATAGACAGAAACTAGTATACCACGTGATCTGGTTAAACTAAAAATTAAATTGAACTCGCCTTTATTAGCCAAATACGTTGGAAGGATTGTTTTGAGATTACTATTGAACTAGGAAAGAGAGGGTATAACAACTCTATTTCAGACTTAATCGATTGATTATTATTTTATATTATACACCCATTTTTAACAGACTTCAAAGAAAGGATGAGGTTCTCAATTCGTCGCAATATTTTTGAAAGGGGGTACTTTAGGGGTGGTCCCATATAAATTTGGTCAAAATCTAATAATTGGGTCCATGAGAAAATCCTCAAACTCTTCATTTTTTATGTATGTTTAGCGATAATGCTTTACCACCTTATCCGATTTATATGAGTCTTTTTTTTGTTAGTAAGGGCACAGTTTAAATTCTTTAAACTGTGGTAAGGGGATACCTTAGGGGTGATCCCATATAAATTTGGTTAAGATGTGGTGATGGCATCTGCACGTTTTTAAAGTCGGTTTTGTTAAATTTTTAATTTCTAATACTTGTTGTTTGGATTTTTGGAATGATAGATTGTCATTAGAGTTTTTAAGATGTCAGATGGGAAATTTTGAAAGAGAAGTATAAGTTTGAAAAGATTGTTAAAATAATTTATGGATAATTTACAAGATAAATAAGGTTAAAAAGGTAAAAAAGTTATTTAATTGAAAGATACAAAAGGGAGTAACAGTGGCAAGCAGATAAAAAAGAAACAGCAGGAGGTAGGAGACTAGGAGAATATAAAAAGGAAGACCAGAGTTAGAATAAGAACTTGATGTTGCCGACCTCCACGCTATCTCGGAACCCTAAGAAGACGGACAGGGCAATCTATGCCTACCTTCTCCAAGAGGCTCTGAGAGAGATGGAGGCCGAAACACCAAACAATAACAATGTTTTGGAGAAGTACTCAAACACTATCCAAAGCACAATAAACAATGCCTATAAGAAATCCTGTCCCCTGAGGCTGGTCCAACACGATCAGACGACTACCGCATGGTGATGTCACGAGTTGGATCACCTTAGGAAGATGGATAGGAAATCCTTTAATAAGGCAAGAACCACAAAACTCAGAGGACTGGGATACTTACAAATCTCACCTCAGAGAATACAAAAAAATCGTCAGACAAAAACAGAGAGATGCATGGAGATCCTATTGCGAAGAAATCGAAAATTTCCCGCATGCAGCGAGGCTTCAAAAAGCTCTCTCAAAAGATCCACACAGAAGCATTGGTGCGCTAATCAAAGAGGATGGCACGAAAACAGCCATTCTTGAAGATAGCATCAAACTTCTGCTGTCAACACACTTCCCTGACTCGGTCATCACATCACAGACGTGGCCGACTGGGTAGAGGAAGAATACAATCCATCTGTCTATGATTGGCAAACTGCCAAACACATTGTAGACGATGAAAAAATTAGATGGGCAATATTCAGCTTCTCTCCACTTAAATCGCCAGGACCTGACGGTATCTATCCAGCCCTACTTCAGTGGGGTCTGGAAGAACTCACACCGCACCTGGTGGGTATATTCAGATCCTCGTTGGCTCTGTGGTATATCCCCAAAAAATGGAGAGAGGTAAAAGTGGTATTTATACCCAAACTTGAAAGGATGGATTACACTGTCCCAAAAACATACCGACCAATTAGTTTGACATCGTTTTCCATGAAGACATTGGAAAGACTATGCGAAAGGTACATAAGGGACGCGGTGATTACACCACTACACCCAAACCAACATGCATACACCCCAGGCAGATCTACTGATTCAGCCCTTCATCATAGAAGGTGCTTTTGATAAAACCACCTTCCCAAAGATAATACACTCACTAACCAACAGGAATGTTCCACAAATAGTTAGTGGGTGGATACATGACATGCTATCAAAGCAAGCAGTAAACATACGTGTAGAAGATGCAAATATAAGAGGCTTGGTTGCTAAAGGATGTCCACAGGGAGGGGTGAGTCACCTCTACTGTGGAATTTGGTCCTCGACACACTCATCAGCCGTCTCAATAATAACAGTCACTACACAATCGCATATGCAGATGACCTGGTCATTCTGCAAACAGGGAATTTTGAGAACATACTCTGCGAAAGAATACAAAGTAGCTCTAAAAATTATAGAACAGTGGTGCAAGGACCATTCACTATCTATCAATCCTAAGAAGACAGAAATGGTCCTTTTCACAAGGAAAAGGATGAAAATGGAATTAAAACCTCCAGAACTCCTAAACACAAAACTAAACTCTGCGACAGAGGTGAATTACCTAGGTCTCACCTTTGACAGCAAGTTAAGATGGAACTTGCATTTAGAAAACAGAGTTAAAAGAGCATACATTGCTTATGAACAATGCCACCGTACTGTGGGACGCACCTAGGGTTTCTCCCCCAGAGTCGTCGCATGGACTTACACGGCTATCATAAGACCTATGCTAACATACGGTGCAGTTGTCTGGGTACTGAAAACCCAAAAATTAACAGCTATCCGTAAACTAGAACAAATTCAAAGAACAGCATGTCTCAACATAATAGGAGCCATGAAAACAACACCAACCAGAGCGATGGAAGTCATTCTTAGTCTCACTCCCCTTGATATTTACATCAAGGAGGTTGCTCTGACGACAATAACACGCCTCCGCACGGTTGGAATAAAACCTGATGTTGGATCTGGTGAGGCGAGACGTCACTTTTGGCAGGAGGCGCTCGATACGCTCCCACTGCTTCAAGCGAACATGGACTCCATCTCACCGAGATATATCTTCCATAAGCCATATAAAGTTATAATAGAACAAATAGAAGAAACAGAAGTGGCAGGTACGATTCATATTTACATCGACGGTTCTAAAACAAAACAAGGCTCAGAATGCGGTATTATCGATTATAATCAAAGAAGGGTGTTCCGGACTAGGTATAAATTTTTAACATTTTCTGTGTTCATATTATTATGGTTATCCCCGCTTTTTGTTTGACTTTTATGATAGATTACCATTATTATTGTATATATATTATACACTCATTTTTACATCTCATAAAAATATGCATTATACAATTATTATATACTCGCATTTGCTACATACACTGGCCTTTTAATTAAAAAAGGTAAATTGGAAGGTAACAGTTACTGGGCCTTTTATTCCCCTACACAAATGTTTGTTGGGTACATTACTTTATTCAACATGTTCTTTACTTTATTCTACACACTCTGGTAAATTTATAATATTGCCCATAACTCCTTGAGTGTTGGACACAAATATATAGCCACTTTCGACTTAAAATAATTGTCCAAGGAATATGATCTTCAGCTATGACTCTCGAGTCACGGGGACACCCTGTATACATCATAATGACTTAATTTTATACACGTCTTGGTCCTTCCATTAAAAATATATTTTCATGCCGTCATATCACTTTTATTTGATTGGATCATATAAATTAATTAAGACCCCCATTTATTAAACAAAAATATTAAATATACAATTTTGTATAGTGTCAAAACCTAAATTACTTGAACTTATTAATACGACTAGAGAGATAATTAAAATAATTTTCAAATGATGTATCGCATGAACCATATTTTTATTTACAAAATCATCGATGGCGTTATTACATATGACGTCACGACAGAACTCGCCAAAAGTAAACAAGTTAAAAAATAACGAATTTATTTATTTAATTTGTACCATCCTTTAATTAATGATCTTCTACAAGTATGTATAATAAATCGTTAGATACTTATGAGAAAAGGAATAACTAAAATGATTTCGTTATTGCGAAAAATATTCGTTAATTTAAATTAAACTATAATTACTATTACTAACCGGTTTATTGTGTTAGTAGGAAACTGTAATACATTTTTCTTACCTCAATCAATCCCAACACCACGAAAATTTTCACGGCAACGAAAGAACACATTTCAAGAACGGTTCCGTTAAAAGGACGACAATTTTAACGCGACTCCACTACTCTGATCTTCCTCAAACTCAAACGCGTATATTTTGTCGAAAAGATGCTACAATTTGTGTTGATGATGATGAGACCGAGAAAGAAGCAGCGGCCGCAAAACCAGTCTTTGCTCGATAAAAATAGGCGTTGGAACAACGTGAACAAAGCGGAATAACTGTTGTTCTTCGGTAATGCGCGCCATGACATACAGGCCTAGTCTTAGATGATCGTCGATGGCATTGCTCATTTCACTTTTTTCTTTGCTTGTAAGGAAAGTAGCGCAAGTATTGGCGTGTTGATGTATTTTTGTGCGATAGTCGGAGCACGTAGTTCCGATTATCTTAGATGTTCTCAATGCGATTGATCGTTGGTTTTGGATTTAGTTTATTCCTTATTATATAAATACATTAATAGTGTTATTTACCCTTTAAATGGAGAAGCAGAGGGCGAACATTACGTACTTTCCACACTCAATTACTTCCCAACAAACATCAACACATTACACTTAGTTATTATTTTGACATTAAAATAGATGGCGCGCCGGGATTTCAGGGGGTTTGGCTAGATTTTAGGAGGGGCGTGAAGAATTTTTTAGTTTTATGGAAATATTTCGCCAATAATCATTCCATGTAGTCAAATTGGAAACATCATGACCTTTGAACAAAAATTCTGACCGCAATGTTATATTGATTTAATACAACTTTTTTATGGTGTTTAAAAAATCAGCCAGTTCATTAAAATTACCCTTACACGTTGATGGCTCATTATGACCTCTTGACCTTCTGCTTTTCTAAAAATATAGTTCTCCCAATTTGATATACATATGTCCTTGAATAACATTTACCGCTCTGTGTATATCAAAATCCAAATCTCGATAAGACAACTCCATCATGTAACTACCAAATACTATAGTTTTTTTTTTAACTCTAACAACAACAAATCAACACAATTTTAAAACAAAATAAACACAAACCTAAATTAAAACTACCATTATCCATCAGCTACCCATATCGGTTTAAATCTTAAGTTTCCTTCTCCTATCCTATTACATATATTCAATCCATTTGAATCTGTAGTTACCATCCTAGTCATATCGTTCTTACTGGGATTTCCCTATTGATTCAGAAATTGTCTGTCTATTATCTTATGCCCTCTCCATGCTATTCCTATCTTCTCTATCATCTGTCCTGTTCCTATAGATTTCACTATCATCATTATCTCTATTCCTATTACAACTTTTTTGCCTATTATAGGCAATTATTGTTATAACTAAGGTATATCTACCGTTTATATTATAAAAATTTTAATTGGTAGGTACAATTGCTTTTCTGGTATATTACCTTTCAACAATTTTTATTTAAACTTAAGCAAATTTTAATGTGTTTCCTTATTCAAAAAATAAAATTTGAGCAAGTAACGCCATGGATTACAGTTGGTTTAAGAAAAATAGAGGTATCTCAATAAAAAAAAATTACTCGAGATGCTGTGCAAAATGAAACTCACCAACGCCGTCCACGAACAAGCACCACACATGAAAACATTGATGCCAATCGAGATCTTTTTACCACAGATCGTCGAGTATCCATAGCAGAAATTCATAAAGCAGTGGGACTTAGCTAAACTTCACTATCGAAACATTTCTACAAGATGGGTTCCAAGACTCTTGAATGAACATCAACGAACTGTTAGTCTTGAAATTTCTCAAAGGCTGCTGACACGTTACGAAGCGGAAGGGAAAGCATTTTTAGAGCGTATAGTGACCTCTGATGAAACTTGGGTGCACCACTATATACATGAGTCCAAAAGATCAAGTAAGGAGTGGAAACAAAAAGGCGAAGCTGGCCCAGTAAAGGTAAAAACTCGTTTGTCTGCGGGTACAGTTTTAGCGAGAATGTTTTGGGATTATAGAGGTCTTTTGTTGGTCGATTTTCTTTACAATAGACGAACCGTTAATGCAGCTTATTATTACGATCTATTGGAGCGTGTGCGAGCTGCTTACCGATCCAAAAGACGGGAATGTAAGGTACGACAAGTGCTGCTCTTGCATGACAACGCTCGACCGCATACAACTGTACAAACTCAAGAAAAACTAGCAATAATGCATTGGACTGTTGTTTAACACCATATTTATAAACCAGACCTTTCACCATGTGACTACCACATGTTTTGTCCACTCAAAGATGCACTAGGAGGAGAACGTTTTGATGACGATGATCAAGAGGAGCAATTTGTGTGCAACTGGTTGAGTACACGGCCTCTTTATTTTTACGAAAAGGGTATGAAAACTCTACCTAACCGATGGGAAAACTGTATTCAGAAAGGAGGAATGTATATAGAAAAATAAATTAACAATATTTTTATTATAATTCAATAAAAAGTTATTAACAAAGATCGGTTCATATTTGATCCACCCTCGTAGAACACTTATTAGAAAAGCTAAAGATATGTATTATCATAAAAGAATTGAGAGCTCAAATAATAAAGTCCCTCAAGGTTCTGTTCTTGGCCCATCCTGTTTTTAATTTATATAAATGATTTAGGTAAGTTAAATATCTCAGGAAGTTCCACTCTATTTGCTTATGATACTACTATCTTGTGGCATAATAAAAACGTCAATATAATTCATGCAAATATTAGTAGGTAATGATCTCAAATCTGTTAAAATATGGTGCACTGTAAATTTTCTTTCATTAAATTTAAAAAACAATACTAACTAAATGTAATATTCCTGATATTTTAATAGATATGGATACTATAGAAGCCACAGAAATTTTTATCTCGAAACGGATTTGAAATTTAAATCTCATGTTGATCCACTTTTAAAAAACTCGTATCGAGTTGTTATGCCATTAGAACTACCTCTCGTAAAATAGGAGTTTGTGTAGCAAAAACTGTTAGTTGACTCATATTTACGTTATGCTGTTCAGTTTTAGGGAGTTTGTTCTGCCGAGTTATTTGGTAGCGTCTTTATAATGCAGAAACGGACAATAAGATTCTTATGTGGAGCACACAGATTAGTTTCATGTAGACTGCTGTTCTTAAAACATGAAATATTAGCAATAACTTCATTATTTACCTTAGAAACTTGTTGCATGATTCATAAGAACAAGTCGAAATATAAATCGAATATATCCCGTGAAACTCTCCAAACGGGTAACATGAAATATTAGCAATAACTTCATTATTTATCTTAGAAACTTGTTGCATGATTCATAAGAACAAGTCGAAATATAAATCGAATATATCCTGTGAAACTCTCCAAACGGGTAACTTATAAGAGCCTCTTTTATATATAATTGCATCAAGATGTATAACAGGTATTGTTGAAATATAATATGTTCTAATTTTCTCCCTGTTATCCCATTTTCATTTTTTACCATCCCAATATTCTACATCTCTTTCACTCGTTCCTTCATACAAATCATCCTCCTTTTCTGACTACTTTTATTATGTATTTTATTTTACCTAACTTAACATTTACCTCTTTTTTATGAATTCTGAATCTTCTCGTCTTGTACTTTTTCAACTTCCTCTATTTTATCCAACCTACTACACATGCTCTCTATCTTGTTTCCAATGTTTTTTTTTACTTTCCCCATTTTCGCAGTCATATTCCTCGATCAGTTGCGTCTCCAATGAGTTTATTTTTATCTCAATAAGTTTAAAAAGAGTCCAAATATAACAAGGCACCCTCTCAATAACCCAAATTATCAGGTGGGTCGTGGAAATTTTCATGAGTTATTACAAAATCACAACTACTAGACACATAAACAAAGAGGAACGTGTTTTCAAGAGATACTAGAAGTACATCCCGTTCTCATTAGCAATAAAAAATATTGATTGGTAAAGTCTATTTGCGTCACTCAAAATAATGTTATAACGATGTACTTTTTATTCAGGGAGTGGAATAACAGATTTTACTAGCTCTTGTAAATATCAGCGAACTTGTAAATATTCGCATATTTTCAAAAGAGTAGTATACATTAGTGAATGTTCAATGACATATGGATAAACAAATAAATATCATTATCAGGAGATTAATTAAGTTAAAAGTATTTATTCATAGATAAAACCTAGCGAAGGCACTGCCAATAGGCATTAGGGTACTCTGATAATCCATGTTAGATGAGATTATCGAAAATTAATGTATACACATGTGAAATTATTTTCAAAAAAAAAAAAAACAGAATATCATTATGGGCTGAACAAAATATATTCATGGTATTTATTGTACCTCTGTCACAACAATTTGTGAGGTGTCTTAGTCAAAGATTTCTGGGGTTCAAGATCAAATTTTAGCCGGATATTTAAAATATTAAGAACGATATATTTGATACCATTAGTGCAAGAATGCTGATGATCGTACATAATAATAATAATTATTTATACTATTGTCAACATTTAATACAAAATGATTATAGAATATCGTCTCTAATAAAAATAAATAACTAAAAAATCTACTTTTTCGTATTCTTATTGTGGCTTCTGCGTTTATTAAGGTTCGTTTTTGATTTTAAAAATCTAGTAGAATTTTGTTTTCTGCTGGTTGACAAGTAGAAGAACAGGTTTTCATATGCGTCACTTGTAGGAGTAGGTACTAGCACTACAATAAATTGACAAATGACCTTGAGGGCACCGGCCGGCGTGTTAATAACCTCAATCTAAAACCTTGTCCAATTATAAAATACAGAGACGGATCTGATAGTCAATTTTACCAAAAACCAAAAATTATAATATTAGTGTAGATCCAACTGTCGTTTCAATAAAATCCACTAGAATTTCATGTTTTTCTTATTTTGTTTTATTTTTCATCTATCCAGTTCTTAAAGATGAAATACTGATATGAATTTAAAGAACAAAAAAAAACTGAAATTAATTCTGTATAGAAAGCAATGTGTGAAAATATTTATGACTGGCCGAGGAGTATTCGGTCAGAACATTTTTGGCATATTTTAATTCATTTATTTAATAAAAAGTAACTTACTAGTGACAGTCCATAAAGTCTTGTCTGTACATTCCATAAAGTGTTGACTGTAAGGGGGGAGAGTGGGGCAAAGCGGAATGAGGGACAAAACGGAATCGTTGCATTACTACAACCTTAGCCAAAACAAGTAGTCTATTAGCTTAGTAGTTCTTCTCAATCAGGGGGGGGGGGGTGGAACTCCTATGCGCAAGACTGGGATAGCGTTAATATTCTTCATAATGTAGGGGCACAATGCTGTAATCTGGATTATGTAGCAGCTAACTACTTCAAACATAATACATTTTTTAAATATTGAATTTGTTATATATTCATATAAAATTAATTTTTTGATTATGCTTGTTTTTTTATCTAAAAACGTCAAGTTAAGATTGGTTCATGCAACTGAATTTTTGCTTTATTATAACGAATATCGCTATAATTACGCAAAAATGCAGTTTTTAATAAAAGTAAGCTTTACTGTCAAATTTGAATGGCCCCGCGCTTTTCTTCCCTATTACCGTTTTCTAACAAGGGAGTTA